ATTGACTCCCCCCCCCTTTTTTTTCCCTAACAGCAATTAAAAATCCCAAGCCAACTTAAATTCACTGGATTACTTATTTGTTTTACATTTAGGAAAAAAAAAAATCACAGTTCCGAGGGCCCAGGATGATTAAGAGGCCCACACACGTTGCATGTGTTAGAGACACATTCCTGTTGTGGAGTTATGTTAGGAGTAGGGGAGCCCCAAACTTCTGGATTTGGAGAACCTGTGAAAATCCTCAAGTGTGCGCATCTACTAAGTAGAAAGAGGTTGTTAGATTTTTTTGTTTTTTTTAAGTCTTTGCAAGTACTGGATCTATTTCAGTGCCACACACACTGGATCCAGGTAGGGATAAGCATCACAGTAGATTTGAAATTAGCCCAGTTAGGAGAATCACCTAGAAATTTTTATGAGATACAGAATCCGGATATATATCCCAGCCTTAATGAATCATCACCTCTTGGAGTGGTGTACTGGTTTGTTTAGGGCTGCCGTAACAAAGTACCACAAACTGAGAGGCTTAAAAAGCAGACATTTACTGCCTTGCAGTTCCAGAGGCTTGAGATGTAAGATGAGGGTATTGGTAGGGTGGTTCTGAGTGCTGTGAGAGAGTAGCTATTCCATGCATCTCTCCTGGCTTCTGGTGGTTTGCTGGCAGTCTTTGGCACTCCTTGGCTTGTAGAAGCATCACATCATCTCTGCCTTTATTTCCTGTGACATTGTCCTTTGTGAGGGTCTCTATATCCTAAATCCTTTTTATAAAGACTTGAATCATATTGGATTATATTCCACCCTAATGGCCTGATCTTAACGAATCTTCTCAGAAGGTTACATCCTGAGTTGTACTGGGATTAGGACTTCAACATGAATTTTGGAGGGGACCTAATTCAACCTATAACATCTGAGGCCTGGGAGTCCCAGTTCTGTCTTGTTTTGTTTTGTTTTTCTCAAAAGTACCTGGTTAAATTTTAGAATTGGTCAGATTTGGGATCAATTTGCCTTTGATAGCTTTGGAGGGTTCCTTACATCCTTTCATCTAAAGTCAATTTAGGAAGCTCATGGAACCAGTCTGAGCAGTAGAGCTGCAGGCAGTGTATTCACTAGGATGGATAGTACTTTTTCTTCTAAATTGATATCAGTAGATACTTTGATAGGAGTCTACCGTTATGCTAGCAACCATTCCTGATGGTACCCCAGATTTGTCATTCCTCCCCTGACTCATCTGGAATGATTTATCCTGTCCAGTTAAAAATAAAACACTTCTAAGACCCATTCTCAGATGGGTCTGCTGGAAGAAGAGGCCAGACATGTTCAAGTATTTTAAGTTGTGTAGCGTTGCTTGTTGCCCCTCATATTTTCTTTAACATTTTAGTTGGGATATGCTGTCATTATTATGTAAATTTTTAACTGCACAGTTTGACGAATTTTACATATGTGTGCATTCATAGAAGTGGCACTCAGAGCAAGGTAGAAGTATTCCCAGCACTGTAGCAGGTTACTAGTGCCCTTTCTCAGTGATTAACATTCCCATCTACCAATAGAAGGGAATTTTTTCACTGTCAGTTTGGTCTGTTCTTGAAATGAACTTACTACATACTCTTTTGTGTTTGACTTGTTTTTACTCCTACATACTCTTTTGTGTTTGACTTGTTTTACTCCACTCCATGTCTGTGAGACCATCTATATTTCTACATGAGTCAGTAATGTGTTCATTGTTGTTCCTGCATAGTATTTCATTGCATGAATATGCCATGAATCATTTACCCATTTTCCTGCTAACGAACATTTGAATTTGTCCAGTTTTTGCTATTTTGAATAAAGCTGCCATGAACATTCTTAGACATGGCTTTGTGTGAACATATGCAGTCCCTTCTCTTGGATCTATTCCTAATAGTGAAATGACTGGGTCATGGGTACATTTATATTGCAGCCTTAGTGGATGCTGCCAAAGAGTTTGCCAAAATGCTTATACCAATTTATACTCTCAGCAGCATATATAAAATTTCCTGTTGGCTCTAGGTCTTCTTCAAAACTTGGTAACGTCAGTCTTTTGGAGCTTAGCATTCTAGTGTGTGAATAATGATAATCTTATGTGGTTTCATTTGCATCTTCCTGATAAGTAAAGATGTTGAATACCTTTTTACATAGGCTTTTTATTGTTGTTCATTTGTTGTTTACGATTTGGATGTTTTATTTTATGAACTGCCTGTTCAAGGCTTTTGACCATTTTTAATTGGGTCATTTGTTTTGTCTTAAATTTGTAGCGATTCTTATTATGGTGAATATGAACTTTTTGTCATCTCTCTATGAAAACATCTTCTTGGAGTTTGTGGCTTACTCTGTAGTCTTTTAATAGTGTTTTTGATGAAGAGACGTTCTTAATCTCAGTGAAGCATAATTTGTAGGTTATTCTCTTTTATGGTTAGTGCTTTTAGTGTCCCATTCACTAACCCTATTCTCTCTCAAGGCCTCAAAGACTTTTAAGATACATTACTATTGGATATAATAGTAGTCTGTGATAGATCTGGTATTTTGATAAATATAATACACATTACATCATACTGTATATTTATTCTTGAAGTCTCACCTATTTTATCCATACGAGTTGGATGCAGTCTCTCAGGTATAATGATTTGGTGCTACTTTGAATGACAAATTGAGTTCCTGATGTGTTGCTACTGCTTTTTCTTAAGAAAAGTGTAAAACCCAATACGTAACCCAAAGTGCTGAACTTGGGCATACCATTTTACTGTATATGTTCAAAGAAGTAGTAAATAGTTGAAAACTGTTAAGAAAGCAACAAATGTATAGTCAGTGGTTTCATCATACAATATTTGTCATTCTAAGAAGCAGTACACAAACCCACTCAGGCAGAAAATTTTCTTATTCAATACTACTTTAAATCTTTTGTGGATTTTTTCACATTTTAAAAAGTTTTTATCATGCAAATTTGAGAGTTAAAAGTAAAGAGAATAATGTAATGAATTCCCACCTACCCATCAATCAGCTTTTAACATTTATCAATATTTTTCTAACTTGATTCATCTTTCATACATTTTTCTAGACTATTTTATTTTATTATTATTTTTAAAGATTTTATTTATTTATTTATGAGAGACACACAGAGAGAGAGAGGCAGAGACATAGGCAGAGGGAGAAGCAGGCTCCACACAGGAAGCCTGATATGGGACTCCATCCCAGGATTCTGGGATCACGCCCTGAGCCAAAGGCAGATACTCAGTTATTGAGCCACCCAGCCACCCTCTAGACTATTTTAAAGAAAATCTCAGACATCTAATTATTTTCTCTAAACACTGTATGAATCTCTAACATTAAATCTTTTTTTGTGTAATTACCATTCCGTTATCACATCCAACAAATTAACAGTAATTTCTTAAATATCTAATATCTAGGCCATATTTAGATGTCTTGTTACCAAATTGCCTTTTTATAGTTTTTTTTCCAATTATCCTAACAAGTCCTCATGTTCTCAAATCTCTTCTGTCTCAATAACTTCTGACTTGTTAAAGTTAGTGAGCATGAATCCCTTGACATGTGAAAACACATGTAATTTCTCCTTTGTTTCTGTTCCTCTACTCTCTAAGTAGGCATGTTAAACTCAGAGTATATCAAGAAAATACTTTCAAATAGACCATCCACTGGAATTATTTTATTACTTTTTGTTAGATTTTTCTTAGATAACTAATTTAGGTGAAATGTGCCTATTTCTTTGGCAAATGTACTCTACAATGTTTCAGATGGCTTTTGATTACCATAGAACATTTCTTTCAAAATCATGTACATATTTTAACAAATAGCATATATTTGCCTATAGCTTGGTAGTTCTTGATATCAAATTATTATGTTAAATTATATACGACATTCAAATGAGTACAAGTTTATAATGCTTGCTATGTCACAATCAAGATTGAATGGCATCATAAACCATGAAGTTTCTCTTGTCATACTGTCCTTTATAGAATACAGACTTAGTATTTTGTGTTTTAATTACAGTTCTTAAAGGAGTTAGAATTAATCTCCCAAATGTTTATTCTTCTTGTGTTTCTTTCTTGATTAATCATTTGTGTATATCGTACATGAAAATAAAATCCATTCTCGTGTATCTTTTTACTAATTTTCCATTTATACTAAAACTTCTAATAGGATCTCTAACAGGAATGGTTTTCAATTTCATAAAGAAGAATGAAAATATATATGGTGTTATGTATTGGCTTTAAAGCTGTTTCTTCCCAAACATACATATTCTCTAGCCTTCATATTTTATATGATCTTTATATTATATTAAGCATTAATATATATAAGTATAACCATTAAGTCATACGAAAAAGGAGAAAATAGCCTTTGATACAGAAGAATTATTTTGTGGTAGATTACATTTGACCTATCATTTTCACATATTTCTCACATTTTATCTCATAATTCTGCTAAGTAGAGTTAGCAGAGTTATTTTATAAATGAGCATTGGCCCCAGAGACATTGAATTGTTTGCCCAAACTTTCATCAGTTACCACTGGACCTGCACTTTGATTTTCTTTCTTATAGTTCAATTGCCATTCCATGAAACCATTACTATTAATGGGCTCGAGATATTTTCCTTTCAAAGACACTGAAAATTGTGTTTTAGTCCTCACTTAATTCTTAGATAATCAGTTTTCTTCTTTAATCACTGAATTTTTTGGAAATGTTTTTAAAACTTTCTGAAAACTGAGCTTCTAATTTTGTTAATACAGCTAAGCAAATTATAAGTAATTCACTTTAAGTAATGAGAGTTCAAGCATGCGGTTTGTTAAACAGTAAAAGCAGAAAAAGAATGTAGTTACAGAGATTCTCTAGAATCTTTTCTTCCATGAAATTCACTAAATGTGATTTTTCTTTTTCAGTATGAAATGTTAGTGACATTTTAACCAAGAGAAGTCTAACAGATTACTTAATTTCTAACTACATTTCATTTGTGTGGATATTTTTGTTTTGTTTTCTAGTGGCTTTTCATGGCCTACCACTGAAAATCAAGAAGGAACCCCACAGTCCATGTTCAGAACTTGGGTCTGCCTGCAGTCAGGAGCAGCCCTTTAAATTCAGCTATGGAGAGAAGTGCCTGTATAATGTCAGGTAAAGCCATCAGGTGGATATAGAGGGTGGTGGTTTTAATTAAAACTAAAAATCCAGAATAGTATCAGTTCTCAAGTTCTATTTTATATGAATTACATCTTTAGCAGATAACAAGCTAATTAGGTAATGTGTTCAGCCAAACTCTGAAGAACTGTACACTATCTGATCGTACACTTTTAGAATCATTTTAAAGCAATAATTTTCATCCAAATCATTAGTTGCTTTTCTACTGTAGTAATGCATCCTGGATTTGAAAAGAGGGTCTTCCTTGGCATGAACAGCTATTGAAAGTTCTCATTAGAATGAATGCATTATGCACTTTAGATAGAGTCTGTAGAAAAAAATGAAACATTTGGCAGGTCTGAGCAGTACATTAGTTATCTGACAGGCTTTGCAGATGATCTATAAGATGCGTTCCTGGAGAATTGCAATAAAGTTAGAATTTTATAAGGCTTAGTACAGGCTATTATCTATTAAAAAGCCAGTTGTTCCTTTTGATGATAATAAAGGGTGGAGCAGTAAAATTACTTTGTTCATTTGTTAGAAGATTTGATAACATATATGTTCATTAAAAACCCTTCATAGTAAATTGCATTCTGTTACTTTTCATATTGTCCTCTAATTGCATGAGGAGAAGTTGGCTCTGTATATTGAGCATCATTATTCTCAATTACAGTAGAAACTTAGTTCTTAAAAGGACCTCATTTGGAAACTTATAAAAATGACTACAAATATTTGCAGTTTTAGAAGTTACATAGATTCAAGTTCATAATACATTATGATCCAAAAAAGTGTTCTATTTTCTCATCTATTTGCAGCATGTAGTGTTATATCCAAGATATATAAGATTCAAGAAACTTAGAATGGTGCAATTTCATGGCAGCTGACCAGTGTTGGGATATTCTATTGCTATTTGTTCTTATAAACTTGTCTTTTATATATGCTTTTTTAGGAAGATAACCAGAGCCTGGAATTATGAGCCAGCTTACTTAAAACTGCAAAGCTTTTATTTAAAAAGATCTCTTGTAGAAGCTCTTAAAGCATAAAGCATACTGAGTTCAGTTAAAAATCATATTGATCAATCTGACTTTTATTTATAGTGTTTTTATTTTTGCATTCTCTCTTTTACAGTAGTATATTCATAGAATAATTATTTAACATACTGAAAAATTTCAAGTTAATGAACCAGATATGTAGAATTGTCATTGCATTTCGGTACTGATCAGACGTGTAACTGTGAAATTGGTACTGCTTTGGATGACATACCTGACATTCATCACCTGAATATTTTGAGGTTCTTCTTGGAGACCGATAATTTCCACAGCAATGTATGGGTTAAATTCTAGTACTTCCATCTCTATACAAACAAGATAACTCAATACAGTATTTCACAGAGGAAAAAAAAGTAGTGTCCCAGGGCAGAAGATAGATCTTTTTTTTTCTTTATAGGGCACGAGACAGGCAAACTATTTTGTAGAAGAGGTGGTTTCTCATTCAGAAATATTGGTAAGGGAAATAGGTAGAACCAAACATAATATGAGTACTGTTGACTTTGTTTTAAAGCCAACAGTTGACTTACCCAGCACACACTCCTACACTTCTGTGAAGTATTTTTGCACTTGGATGTAATTCTGTGGTATAGATGTGGCAACTGAATAAATTATTACATAAGTTAATCCAAAAAGAATGTTTCTTTTTTAAGAAGCAAAACTATGTATTGATAATTGCTTTTTATTTTGAAAGAAAATATATTATTTTAACCTAGAAATACCTTTCTTATTCAGTAATATTAGTAAAATTTATTCTTAGAAAATTATTTTTTAGATTAGAAAAATTCGTTAAATCATATCCCCAAGAGCTACACAAAGGAAAGCAACTTAAATTCATAGTGTATGTAAAAACAGGCTTACTCGTTTTATTCTTCGGTAATTGTGTTTAGAAGTTAGACTATGATAATAGTATTTTATTTTTAAGAACCTCATTTTGTACCTATTCTTATACTCCAAGAAAATTTAACTATATCAGAGACATTTTAATTTGCCTCATTACTCTTTATTATCCCATGTGAGGAAGTTAATGCCAGGCATCATTTATTTTATATAAAAAAATGAAAATAAGGCAAAAGGAATGCCTTCTTAAAATTATATCACAAATAAAGGAATGGTCTCCATCTTATGAAACTGAGGTTAGTGTCTTGTTCTAAAATCTTATGTGATATGGAACAATGATAATATCAGGAATATTTAATGACTTAGGAAAGCTCTATCCAACTTGCTTAAGAAGGCATATCAAGAATAGATACATCAATAATTATTTCCATAGTTCCACTTTTCTCTTAGTGATTTTCCATATGCAAAGTTATTTGTGTAGTAATTGAAACACACATTTTTCTCTTTATGCTGATACCGAGTTATATATTGATTATCCTCTTTTCTGCTTAAGTGTTGGGTGATTCTAAAGATTATGTGTTTTAGGATTACAAAAAAACCAATAGATTTAAAATTCTCACTTTCTTATAACTTGAGCCTGGAATATTTTTTGCTTTTCTTGGGTTGGAAGAAAAATTATTTAATCGTTCCAAAGAAACAAATGTGCTCTTCTCTTTTGTTCCTCGGGTAGTGCCTATGATCAGAAGCCACAAGTGGGAATGAGGCCCTCCAATCCCCCAACACCGTCCAGCACCCCAGTGTCCCCACTACATCATGCATCTCCAAACTCCACTCACACTCCGAAGCCTGACCGCACCTTCCCAGCTCACCTCCCTCCTTCGCAGCCCATACAAGACAGCAGCTACCCCATGGACCACAGGTAAACTGCAAGTACTATTTTTTTTTTTTAATGTTTTTAGCATCTTGAAAGAAATTCCTGTTACCAATTCTTAGGACCTATGGTAGATTTAAGGTGAGCATATTAATTTTGCACATCTTTGCAAAATATTTTTAGAAAGAGCTTGCTCTATCTGTAGTTATAAATAATTTGTGGAGAAGGTCATTTATAAACATTCCTTTTATAAACATTTAAATTGGTTGCTAAAGTGGAAAATTAATCTATATACTGACATTTGAACATTTCCCTTTCGCTTTGCCTGAATTAAATTGCCTCACTTAAACTTTAAATCAGATCATCCCATTTTTATGAGCATATGTGTGTACTTGTTCTATAAAGTTAGGAGACTAATTTTAGTAGGTGGCTTATGGAATTAGGTTCTTTACCTTAGATTGAATGGTTTAGCTGTACATAGTTTTGCAGAATAGAACTTACTTGATTAAAACTATTTTCCATCCTTTCCAAGTGATGAATATTTAATGTCACTAGATGCATGACCCTGGACACTTCAAATATAAAGTAAAGAGATAGGGACTGAATTATTATTACTTAGAAGGAAGGCAAGAGCCAGAACGTGGAGCTAAGGAGTTTGCTGCAGTGGATAATTCTGGACTCCTAGAGATGAATTCATATTTAAATAAAATATTGGAGTACCTTTAGCACTTTTAATAATACAGCTTAAAACACAGGTTGATTGTATACAGCATCCTTCCTTTCCCTTCTGCCTTGTAATTATATAGAGCCAGTGGTGTGCTGGGAAATGTTTAACAATGGGCTTGATGGGACAAAAGCCAGAAGACGTCATCGGTAGCATTTGATAAGTCTGTGATGTAAATATTCCAATTCCAAGCTGTCTTTGTGACAGCCCTGAAGGTAGAGTCAGAAAGAGATCTGTAGTAGGATACCTTTATTTAGTATTTCTGCTGTTTAGATAAAATAGACTTAAGCTCCAGAGCATAATTAGTAGTAAAATGTAGTAGAATAATTTGGAAGCGGTGAGTTTTGAGTACTTATTGTCTTTGTTTTTAATATAATTTTTAAAAAGTTATATATACAATGGCATCATTTAATTCTTAATAATCCTGTGTTTAACAATTGGCTCACAGTATTTCTGAAAATTTAACAATAAGCCAGTGCAAACTGGCTCTGACACACCATTGTAAAAATAACTCAGCCAAAGGAATCCTCTGGATCAGCAGAGGAAACCAGAAGATGTGTCACTAGCAACTTTCTGAAAATACAGAAATATTCAGATCTACTTTTTTATAGGTTATTTAATGTGATTCAATCTCAAATGCAGTTAAATCTCTTTTGGTATGATGGATAAGATAAAAGCATTCTTTATAATGTGAAACTAAGCCGGATTTTTTTTCTACCTTTGTTTCCATCACTAAGTCCTCTTGTGCTTTGGTTATGAAATGCCTCCTATGATCTTTCCCCTCTCACTCCGTAGACTTGAGACCTTGTCAGCGCATGATGGTATGTGCATCTGTGTAAACAGTTTTGTAAATACAGATGAAAGAAATCTTATTGCAGGGTGGGCCATTCAACAGATGCACATTGTGCAGAACTGGAAGGGAGAAGGAGTCCAAACAAGAAAAGCCAGTTTTATTTTGTCCACTTCTGGTGACTTCCCAGAGTCCCCAATTCTTGAGGCTCTTGGGCTTGCAGTGAGCATAGGCATTACAGCTTGTGATGTTGGCCCTTTGCGTGGAGCTCTTATTTCTTAGGGAAGGTGACTGCTGAACCAGCAGAATGCCTGTGTTTAGGTGACCTAACTTGAAATGCTTTAGCCAAATCCATTTTAGTTTCTCCACTTGAAGTCAAATATTTGAGACTGAGAACAGCCGGCCCGGAACTAGAAGAGGGAAGCTCAGGGTCTTTTCCCACTGCCCCCTACTGAGTTTTGAGGACAGGACCAGCTGGCCAATCCCAGGAAAATCTCTGAAGCCGTATGTTTCTGAGGAGGATTTCTTGGAGGGTTCTAGCCAACAAATGACAGTCCCTCAGTTATAAATAGCAAATTTGCTCTGGGAACAGATCCTTTCTCCAAATAGCCCCCTCTAGCCCAGGCACCCCACCTCACTCTGGGAATGCTTTATGGCCAACTGGGCTGCACCCCTGCTTCCTTTCCTCAGGCTCATTCTGTTCCTTGGGCCAGCCCTTTGGCACATGTTCCTAAACCCACTGTGCAGGAGCCCTGTCTCTCTTTGTCAGTGTTTCCCTCCACTTATACACTGTTTTTCTGTATCCAAGAATCATCAGCGTGCTCTCCTTACCCATTAACTCTCTCCTAGAAGCTCCTTGAGTCCCTTTACCTTTATCATTGCCCAGTGTCTCCTAAGAATGGCATGAGACACTTGTAGCTTCCTATGCAGCATGCATGTTACATATATATGCAGTCCTCAGCAGGTACCAACCAGAATGGGGTTGACTCGTAATAACAAATGGCTTGATTCCTTACAAAGCTTTCAATATAAGTATTATTAACTTCCATTTAAGGCTTCACGAGTGAGCTGGTTTCTTATTTTAACTTCAAGTTACAATTTTCTGATTCACTCCTTGACAGTTCTTAATGATAATTTCTGTTTCTTTTTTTGGCTAATGAAATAAGCAAGAGAAGGGAAGTGAATGCAGTGCCAGTCAGCCTGTTTTGCAATATCCGAGTTTCTAAGTTTGTTTTCTGCAGGTGTAGGTGGAATTTCAGTGCTTTCTATGGCAGCCAGTAAACTTAGAGTTAAATCACAGGATAGAGAGGAAAGAGCGTTTGAAGAAATGCTAAAGCGATTGCTTTGCCATTCTTTAGCTTTTACCTTATTTTCATTTAATGTTACCAAAATTAAATGTTAACTTTCCAAATTAAAGTCTCAGGAATGCTTTTAGTGTTGGGGGCAGGGCATCAGTTAATAGGTTTATATTTGCTCAGAGAAATGTTGGGTAGGTTATTTTTAAGCACTCTTGGGGCATTTTAGAGTACTTTTAAATCTTTAATTAATCCACATCTTTGTGGTGGGTCAATGATATTATGGATGAGAAACACAGAACCAAACGATTATGTGATTAGCCAATCATTACACAGCATAACCAAGAAGGAAGGAAGATGGGGATTCGCCGCCAGCCTTCTAGTGAGGCCTCAGAACTTTCTCATGACCTTACAGGGCAACCTGTCCTAAGTCTACTCAACACATACGTCTTGTTTCCATCTTTGGAGGCCTCCTGTATATTTGATGCTTATTTATTTTTTTTTTATCAATCTGATATCTTCTTTGAAGATATCGGAAGCTGATGTATTCCATGCTGTTGTTTGATGCTAAAGAGGCGGTCTTATAAAAACCAGCTTAGATTTTAGTTCTGTAAAATTTCCCATTTTATTTCTCACCAGAATACAATGTTTTTAGAACATTATTGGTGATTTAAGAATCCTGCCATTTGAGAGGAAGGTCATTCCTCTCTTGCTTCCTCAATAACTGATGGTAAGGGAAGGAAAACCAGTAAGTAGGTTAATAAAAACCTGGTTGATCTTTGGTATGTTTGTTGATTAGCTTGGTAACAGCTAAGGGACAAAGGATGCAATTTGGAATCAGATTCTGTTTTTCCTGGTTTGTTTTTTCTGTGTATAATTACTTGAGACTCTATTAATATGGAAATTTAGTAAATGATCCAGTTTGTTTAGAATTTTAGCTGTTAGGATGTGTGTTTCCTCAAAATAGTACACTGTTCTCCTGTGTTCCTACTCAGAACACACCTTTAAGTCACTGTAGTGTACTAAAATGGTGCTTCAAGAGACAGATTATCAAGGAACACAAGTCATATTGTGATTTTAAAACATGGTGCCCCTAACCCAGGAAGGAGAAATCTAGTCCTGGTTAAAGATTTGCACTTCGGGACAGTTGGTATCATGCTCATTAATCAAACAGTTGAAAATTGTATCAGTATTTTAAGCAGTACGGGTTTTTACCCTTTTATTTAAAACATGCTCTCTTATTTCCCAGATTTCGCCGCCAGCTTTCTGAACCCTGTAATTCTTTTCCTCCTTTGCCGACAATGCCAAGGGAAGGACGTCCTATGTACCAACGGCAGATGTCTGAGCCAAACATCCCCTTCCCACCTCAAGGCTTTAAGCAGGAGTACCACGACCCAGTGTACGAACACAACACCATGGTTGGTGGTGCAGCCAGCCAAAGCTTCCCTCCTCCTCTGATGATTAAACAGGAACCCAGAGACTTTGCATATGATTCAGGTAGGCCCATGCTTTAAGTGACATTTAAAACATCTTTACACTTGCTTGTCACTTGATTAGTGTTGGCATCAGAATAAGTAGCACATGACCATTTGGTGTGGAATCTTCCTGATTTTATCCTTTCTTTGAATCCTCCTCTCTATATGAAGTTGGACTATTAAACCATTTTGGCTTGAGCCAATGGTTGAAATAGTGTCTAGATATGAATCCAGTCCAAAGAGAAGTGTAATTTGTAAAATTAGGCACACTCTCAGTCCAAGAGAGTAACATTGTAATTCTTCTCTTAATTTTGAGCTTTCATTCCATTTTGCTACTGTAGCATTATTTAGTGACAATGCTTCCAGAAAGTAATATTCTTTTGTATTGGCTCAATTTATTGCTTAATGACTGTTTTTTCCTTTATTGATGGCAAGATTCCAATGGTCCAGAAGTAAGGATTCTTACATATTAGAAGAAGAGTTTCAAAATGGTTAATTCATAGAGCTTAGCTTTGGTCTCACTAAACCAGAAAGCTCCCATAGAATAATATATCAAGATGGAGAAAAGGAGTCTTCTGAAAGTAAGGAAATGTAAGTCGGTTATAAGTATGATGACCAACTTCACCAACATGTGACCTTGAGACTTTAGAAGAATTACTTAACTCACCTCATTTTTACCTGTTATAATCTCAAAATCAGGATGCCAGCTTTTCAGACATCTCAGAAATTTTGAAAGAAAGCATGAAATAAAAGCTAATGCTTATAAAAGGGTACCATGCTCCTACAAAACACTATTAACATTGTAATAGATGGTTGTGAACTTGGAAATAGTTGAAAATGGCATAATTTTCTCATTTAGATGCAACATTATGGATGTTCTCTGTGAGGGAACTGTTGCTTCTCTAGGAATAATTGCTGATTTTTCTATCATATCTACTTGAGGAACAAAAATTGTCTTTAATTTGAGTTTTTAACTTGCATAAAGTTACCTGCTTTATTATTTATTTATTTATTTATTTATTTATTTATTTATTTATTTATTTCCTACTTCATTATAAACTGCCCTTGAAGCTCAGCAAGCAGGAGCCCTACAACTCAGAGTCTTCCTTTGGCCACTATTCTTCTTTGTGCAAGAGGAATTGCCTACTCAGAGGTCATACTTCCACTTCTAGAAAGAGCACCAACTACTAAGGGCCCCTGAATCCCCTGCCTAATTGGCCCTAAGTCCACTTCCAGAGCCTGAACGGTTTCATCCCAGGCTCAGTTTTCTGAAGGCAGAACCATCATTCTTGTGTTCACTCCTAGGTCCACCCATATGGCCACCGGGTAGCTGTTTGTAGTAGAATGAGAATGGAGCTTGGATGTGCCCATGTCCTTGTGTGTGAGGCCCTCATGGTATATGGCACAATGTGGGGTTAAGGGATGGGAAAAAGAAAGGAAGCTGGGTGAGCTAGATTCTGAAGACTAGAAACTGTTTCTATACCATTCTATTCTAATGCTAATCTTAGAGTTTTCCTCAAATTCTAAATTTGATGTGGCCTTCTAGGTTGTTGTAAATGATATATTTCCAAGGCATCAGAGGAGAAAACATATTTACTTATCTGTTGGTTGGTTTACAATTTAAAAAATTTAAACATATGGCATGAGGCCTTCATTTGAATGCTTGTCTGTAATGCTCTGTAATTTGGGGACTAAATGTACCTGAAATGTACCATAGCAGTTTCAGTTTAGAACTTCTTATATTTGTCCATAGTTTATGTCCATAAGTAAGAGTCCTATAATATAATGGATTTTATTATAGATAGGATTCATTTTTCTCTGTAAATATCAAATCCTTTTAACTGATGTTCTCTTTTTCCCCCAAAACCCTATTTTTATTGGCTGCACATTTTTTTGAAGTTACCATGATTTCAAGAAACTTTACATGGAAATCATATAAAATAGCCAAAATAATTTGTTCAAAAGGACTTATAAAGCATAGTATTTAGAGAGTATCTCTGTGTGTTGTAGAAATGTTTTTATGTATAGCAAGATTTACACTGAAACCATTTTCTTGATTCTGTAGTTAGCTCCATATATGTATATAAATATATATATGTATCTTTGCCTTACATTTGTTTCATGCAAAATTATGTATAACATGGTGTTGAGCATGTGTAACTTTCTTGAGAAGATGCATTATTTGTGGGTCACACATAATATGAACTTCAGAGCCAGTCACTGTCTGACCCTCAAAAGCACAGCTCTAGCCAAAAAAAGATAGTCCATGTCTTAGCTCAGGCTGCAATAGTAAATTACCATTGACCGGGAAGCTTAAACAACATACATTTATTTCTCACAATTCTGCAGGTTGGGGTGTCCTAAGATCACGGTGCCAGCAGAATTAATTCCTGGGAAGGGCCCTCTTTCTGGCTTGCAGATGGCTCCTTTCTCACTGTGTCCTTTTATGTGGCAGAGAGAGAGAGTAAGCAAGCTCTGATCCCTCTTCTTATAACAGCACTGATTCTATCATGGGGGTCCCACCCTCATGACCTAATTCAACCCTAATTACCTCTCATAGGCCGCATCTCCAAATTTGGTCACACTGGGCATTAGGGCATCTGTAATGAATTGTGGGGAACATAGTCATTCTGTCAGTAACTGTCTAGTATCCTGTTTTAAAGGTATCTAGGGTATGTCTTTTGTTAGGTGTACCATATATCTGACAAATGACTTGTAGAATAGTTGTTTAATATTTGAGAAGCTGTTAATTTATATTCCTTTCTTCTCACTAAATTCTATTGCAGGCCACTAAAGAAGTTGAATAGCACCTTTGAATTCTAATTTCAGTATTGCCAATAGGATACAGTTGTGTTTGTTTCAGTATTTTTTTTTTTTTTAGATTTTATTTATTTTATTCATAGAGACACACACAGAGAGAGAGAGAGAGAGAGAGAGAGAGAGAGAGAGGCAGAGGCACAGTCAGAGGGAGAAGCAGGCTCCATGCAGGGAGCCTGACTTGGGACTCGATCCAGGGTCACCAGGATCACACCCCAGACTGCAGGCAGCGCCACCGGGGCTGCCTTGTTTCAGTAGTTAAATTGCAAAGTTGTATCTTCTGGTTGTGGTCTAAAAAAAACTTAAGTAACAGTTTGTAACCAGTGCCTGTGAAAAATTAATATACAAGTATCAAAATGTATTTTCCTGGCCACCAAATCACTGCAGTTCAGTAGTGACACATCTGGATATGTCATACATTTATACACTGCAGTCAGCAAGTATGATCTCCAGATATTTTGTTTTGCGGTCATTAGTTCTTTCATCTTTGCTGAGAGCACGTTCAATAACCTTTTTAGAGAATTTAATGTATTTATCACTGGATCATTGATTTCTTGGTTCACTTACTAACATTGAACAAATGGGACATTAGAAAATAGTTTATGTGATTTAAAAACAATGCAAAAACATTTCATAGTTTACTCGGCATCTGTGATCCAGAGGTTTTCATTTCAGAAGGCCTCTAGAACTCTTTATTGCTTAATTCAATATAACATAAATGTTGTGAAAATAAAAGAAGCTTTGTAAGTGAAAAGGCAGCATGATTATGCACTAATAAAGCCTGACATTAATTATGACATGGGAAATGGAAGGTCTATTAGTTATAATTATAATTACAGGAATGCAATTTCAATTGCCGAATATTCAAGCTAAAAAATGCAAAATATTATGTTAGTAGAGTAGAAATTTTTCTTCAGGAAAAGAGAAGAAAACCTGGATCAGAAGACACTAAGAAGACTTAAAAAATAATGATACTTAGGGTGACCCAGTACAGTGTGATCATGATTCTATTAGGATATTAAGTTCTAAACAATTACATCTGTTATTATTGTTTTCTTTCTCCTCTTCTCTAGCCTAATAGTACTGCACAAAGCAATGCAAAGGTTTTTTGTTAGTTAGTTAGTTTCACCTGAATCCAACGTGATTTTCTCTTTCTTGCCCTAATGGCCAGGTGATTACATTAAAAGGGTTGAGTCAGTGCGAGTGCCTTATGCAATGGCCCATTTTCATAGAATCATAGTTATTTTCCCTTTTTCATGTTTGCGTATGAGTTTTTGCAGATTCACAATGCCCAATGAGGCAAGTGCTTTATATATTCAAAACAACATATTTTTTTAAAGATTTAATTGATTTATTTGAGAGAGAGAGAGAGAGAGAGAGAGAGAACACCAGCAGCAGGCAGAGGGAGAGGGAGAAGCAGACTCCCCACTGAGCAGGGAGCTTGATGTGGGGCTCAGTTCCAGACTCCAGGATCATGACCTGAGCCGAAGGCAGCCAGCTACTTAAACCAGCTGAGCCACCCAGGCACCCACATCCAGAGCAACATATTTCATTGTGGAGTTGTTTGTGTTAGTTGATTGGTTGGTGGTTGTCTTTTCTCTCTTCTCTCTTCTCTTCTCTTCTCTTCTCTTCTCTTCTCTTCTCTTCTCTTCTCTTCTCTTCTCTTCTCTTCTCTTCTCTTCTCTCTCTTCTCCTCTCCTCTCCTCTCCTCTCCTCTCCTCTCCTCTCCTCTCCTCTCCTCTCCTCTCCTCTCCTCTCCTCTTCTCCTTTTTTCTTCCTTTCCTTTCCTTTCCTTTCCTTTCCTTTCCTTTCCTTTCCTTTCCTTTCCTTTTTTTTTTTTTTTTGATAGTTTACAGGGTAGTATTTTTAAGGGAGTGATGAGCACATGAAACTAAAGTTTGACTCAAGAAAGTATCAGCACATGATATTCATACACTCATACACTGTGATCAGGCCATTTTCCTCTGGAAATTATGTTAAGCAGTGGAGGGCACAATGAGTGTTGGAGTGAGAGAGAAGTATTATAAATATATAGTATTGAATGGTAGAATAAGTTATAGCTCTCCGTAAGAGAAATATTATGCAGCCATTTGAAGTCAGGTTTTTAAAAAATATTGAATGAGGGGCACCTGGCTGGCTCAGTTGGTAGAGCCTGTGACTCTTCATCTCAGGGTTGTGAATTCAAGCACCATGTTGGATATGAAG